ATAGAGGTATATAGCAAGTCTGATTACACAGGCCTGCTAGAAACAGCTCTCACGAGTTACTGACTTCTATTTATCGATAGCATGTTGACATCACTTCTCCGCTGGTATTGCATTTTTATAGCTAATCAAAATGCACCTTCTCCCCAGTCTGCACATATCAAAACATGCTGAGATAGATGTACTTTCAGTGCTCCGTAATTACCAGAATTATATATGAACTGTAGGATTTACTAGGACTCTAGCACAAACTAACCTGCCTCTCCCAGAGGCAGACAGCCTGCAAAATTTGCCTTTGCTCACAGCTGTGGAACATTTGGAGCCAAATAGTTGGTTAGTACATTACAGAGATAGGAAGAAGTCATGAAATTCACATGTGTTTCGAGATCCAAATTCCACTGTAATATTGGCATCTGCAAAATTGGACTTGTCATTTGGGACTATCTCTACTGTATGTTTTTCTTCTTCAAGGGAGGGAGAAATGTATACCCTATCCTTTTACCCAGTAGTTCACCCTAGCTCTAACAGCATGGAAGGACTAAAAATCCGTAAGACTTAACCAGCTAGATATTCTTTTGACCTGGGGAAGAAAACAGTTGGCATCAAGCTGTTGAAGCTGGCACCTATGCCACCCACCTCTGCAACGTTTGGGGCAGTTACTGTATTGGGGGTAGAACAGGCCATAGCAGCAGCAGTTTCTACTTGGTTGTTATCCACCAGTAATCTCTCCTGGGGGTAAGGAGTCAATCTAAATAGAGAAATCTTTAGAAAAAGAGGGATGCAATCAGACCTTTGCAAACTTACTTAATCTGGCCTCAGTAAGAAGCACATCTGAAAATCCAGCTTGAAAGCTTCACTACAAATAGGGATCCAAACTTGAAACCAGCGCAATGGTTTTAAGTAAAGAAAAACTTTTGGAATACGCTAATTGCATCAAATCTCTGGCAGGTTTTGAAAAACCTGATTCATCACGAACTCTGAACTGTAGCATTTCCTTTGTTTTCCACACGAGAGCTCTTAATCTGTTCAGGCTTCCATTGCAGACTTTCTTCCATCCACAAAAATGCCTCTCATCTGCTCTAGCATCATTCTTTTACTTAATTGACTTATTTTGTCTAGATGCTGATGTGACTGAAATAGTTTGATCTGATTTTCCTTTGCTTCTGACCTCACTTACATTTATACCCATGTGAAGCTTGTAACTGTGATCGACAAGGCCAGTTCCCTTGCTATTAAAAATCATTATGCCTGCTGTAGTCAGAATGATCAATATTCTAGCAGAAGAATCTGAAACACATTAGAGGTCCGTCAGAGGAGAAACACTCTTTTTTTTCCCATCTTTCTTCTTTCTACCAGAGTCTTATAAAGCATTCAGAAGAATGAACAATATACTTACTTGTATTTCATAACTTTATACTTTTTTTCACTCGGGAATGAGATGGAAAGAAAGTCTAAGTAAAATTTTAAAAGTACCTCAGAGTATGTACATGCAGTAGAATACGATACAAAGACTTGCTAAACCAACATCTACCTGCACTGACCCAGGCAGGTGGCTACTAATTTCAGGGTAGACTCAATTTGCAGGAAATCTGGTTTTCTACAAGGTTTTCTGTTGCATGGTATTGAAATGCTCTCAGAAGTGGAGATATAAATCTGAATTCTTAAATATTTCACTTAGGAGCCTGAGGGCATGTCTAAAATAGATTTAGAGTTTATTATTAGCATTTCATTTTTACAGATGACATGGAAGAAGAGGGAATAGGTTGCAAGAAAATCCTCTTCTTCTGCAGTTCCAGTGATTGGATTTACAAAGGCAGTTAGATGCCTACAGGTGAAGAGAGGTGTCTAGGGGGACTTCCAAAAGCACCTCAGTGAGAGACGTGCCTAGTCTCACTGAACTCTGAAATGAGTGAAATTCCAGATCCGTTCAAGTGCTTTTACAACACCAACAAAGAACTTTGCACTGCTAGACATCTAATTATCTCTATAAGATGGCCCCCAATTAGTTGCAGATGGCCAGCAAAAGAAAAAGGGATGAAACGTTTGTTTTGCATTTTAATATATTCTGCTTCTGGGGCAGGAAAGGTTTTGTTTTTCTGAGTGGATTTTCCCTCTGTAGCTGTGACTCAAGTTACTCTGGCTCGGTACTCTGCTGTCTCAGTATGGCGCTACACAGCAATAGTAAATAAGGCCTGGTGAATGGCAGTCTCCATGGAGGGATTATTTACCCAGTGACATGATGCGTGTCTTCCCGTGGTGATGCCACCACATCATTTCCTTAACTCCTTCACTATCACCAGCTTCCCCTGGGGAGACGGGATGATGCCCTCTAAGTGTGTTGGCAGTTCATCTTGAAGAGGGAGCTTTTAATGAGGTGGTGCCAGGCAAATGGGGCTGCTGCCTATCATACAAACTATCGCTGCCGATATTTTTTCCTGTGAATGTTATGTATTAGGGAGCACTGAGAAAATTATACTTACTGAAAGAAATCAAAAGAGTCTAATTACAGTGATTTTTATAGAGAGAGTTAAAGGATGCATGTCAAAAGGGACTGATATATAATTATGATAATATCAGTTGCAACTCCTGTGCTATCTAATTACTTGAAATGGGTGGCATTGTGCAATCTTTATGAAAGTGAGCTACTTTGATAACAAAATGATATAATCTTAATATGAAATAAAAATAAAATTGAAAGTAAAATGAATATATTGGTAGGAATAATCATCAAAGAGGCAGCACTCAATGTGCTGGAAAGACAGTACAAACAGAAACCCACCAACCACCTCCAACCCCAAATCTTTGCTACACATTTGACTCACACTGTGTCAGAAACTGAGATGCTGCGTATGTTGCCTAAACTGGTAGTCAAAATCAAGACATATTGGCATGACAAGGAAAGAGCCGTAAGAAGTGGAGGAAGAAAGGAATAAAAAGAGGAAATATTAATAAAAATGGGAAAGAGCATAAAGCTATCAATCAAAGCATTAAACTCTTCTGGAGTTTTGAGTGTCTCCACATGTTGAGTTTGCTCTGGATCCTCTGAGGTACTCCAAACCCCCAGCTGCTGAGTAGGTGCTGGACCCTCTTGGATTCAGGCACTCAGACATCTTGGAGGACCGAGGTCTTTCTATTTTGGTTTCACGCTGGCTGTATTACACTGATAAAACTGTCAGCAATACTTGATATAAATAAAGTATTAAAGTTATTGCTTTAACATACATTTTGTTCATCACAGATGTAATTTAATTACACAGAATCCATACCTATTATAACATAATGCCATCTGTTGACAAATGACCTGGACACTGGAAAAAACTAATTTTTCCATTCATTAGAAATTAAAATCCTAGCATGTTCATGAGCAAGCCCACGGACCTGCTGGTAGGTCCACGCTCCTAATTACGGTGTAGCCTAGAAAAATCAACTGTTATTTGAACAGTGACATCAACAGATTGTCACTTATTAGTGGTTTCCAGATTTTTGTGGCCACCATGGGGAGACACCAAAACTTTCATGGACTTTCATGGATACTGCATTATCATCAGTCTTGTAATGGAAAATAAGACTGAATAAAAGGTTTAATATTATCCTATCAACTACCTGCAGCTTATTTATCTCATGGACTGCAGTTTGGATCACTTCTTTAAGCTCTCATAATCTCATTTAATAGCAAACACACAATCTCATTTATAAGCTAAGTTTACATACCTTTTGTAAAATTTTAAAATAAGTAGAGCAGCAATTGGCTAGAATCCCTTGTTTACTGCAAGTTTGGTAAATACATTTCTCTGTGTACTGATTTCAAGGAGCTACTTTTTGTCTTATGCTCATTTAAGCAATCTGTTCTCATGAGATCATACAGAATGAAAGGATCTGACTTAACTGTCTGTGTCTTTTTAAATTCATTATACTAATTGCCGAAACCAGGACACTAATTCCTCATTTAATCCAATCTTGTCTCTTTTTGGTACAAGAACAAAAACATGAAATATTTTCCTATCATATGAGTGTTTTAATTGCTACGCCTTTTTCTTAAAGAAAATTGAATGTTTGGAACTCTTCCTCTGAGCTGTAACCTCACAACCACTTGCCACATACATTGGTCTGTTCTGCCCTCTGTAACAGCTGCATACTGTTTATTCAATAGCATTTAACAGAGATTGTGACTTAGTCCTCTGAGCATGACCTTCCAAAGCAGTTCTACTGAAGTTCTTCCCTATCAGAAAAGGTTCCCTCATACCTACATCCTAGCAGCTTCCTGGCCTCTGCGGCTGCGGTGACCGTTGCTTGACCAAGTCTGAAGTTCACTGACTCGTCTTTAATATCCAACTAAATTCCACTGAATTAATATTTTAAACCTCTGCTGAAGATTGCCTTTTGCTCCTTTGTGCAGCATGTTGGTGTTGAATGTCAAGGAGACAAAAGTAAATCTGAGTTTTTCATGTTGGTGTGAATGTCAAGGAGACAAAAGGAAATCTGAGTTTTTGAAGGTCATCATGGGACAAATCTGTCTAATTACAATAAAAAATGTCAGAAGTAAAGAAGTAAAGAAAGAAGAGTAAAATCATGGTTTTCACTGACAAATCTGTCTAATTACAATAAAAAATGTCAGAAGTAAATATCTTGAGAAAGAAGAGTAAAATGCTATTTCACTTTCCAATAATTTTATATGTTATTTTGTTTATTTATGATGATTCAATGTAGAATCCGTTAAAAATCTTATCTAGTTTGCAAGGAGCATGGCTGAAATGATTAACAGGATTTCCATGCAAGACTGTAAAGGATTTTTCCATCCAGGAATTTTACTCGGTGAGATTAAGGTGTGAGAAATAATATAAGGCTTATCATGAAACCTGTCATCTTCCAAAAGAAAAAAAAAAAAACAAGCAACACCCGCCAACAAGAAATAAGCCAACAAAATAACCCCTGACCGCACCGCTGCCCAGGCTGGCAGAGCAGTCTCAACCACATTCCTGGCACCTCCCAGAAGGCTTTCTTACCTTCACTGCGAACTCCGTTTCTGTAGCTTTATGAACACATCTCTTGCACACTGAATAGGAGCCAATTCCTATGTCCTCCTTGATCTCGTATCCATCTGTAAAGTGAATGTTGTTCCCATGTAACTGCTATAGGGAAAGACAAAAGAACAAGGTAATCAGGACATGGCTATGTAAAAGCAAGGACTAGCCTCGTCTTAACAAAGGAAGTGCTTGATCTCATCTCCTTCACAGAGCTCTCTTGTCCTTAGCAGTTTTTCTAAGTCCAGTTAAAAAAATCTGAAGCTCTTTACTTAAACAAGTGTGTCCCCTCCCTTTTTACCTTTTCCAGTCTGTGAGACGGAGTTGTCCATGTAGAAGTAATGGCAAAAAAGCCAATTTTCAAAAATATTTATGGAATGCAGACAATCACATCCTATTAGAAATTCACAGGAAACTGTGAGCCCAAATCCCCTGACAAACCCACATATCTTGACAATATAAACTTATTTCTAATTACTGAGGGGCCAGATAACTTATAAACTACTAATAGCTTCACAGTCTTCAAAACAGATACCCCGCAATATGGGGTGTGCCTCCAGACCACTGGAGGTCTTGTCCAGGATACGTTTAATTATGATTTCTGCGTGAGAGAAAAGTTACTATTTTAAGCCAACCTAATTTAAGAAAATATATTACTAGTGAAAATAGTAGGAAAATACTTCAAAATTTCTAATTTTATTTATTGAAGGGTATAGAATGAACTATGGCATCATTAGTTCATATGCCCTTTGGAAAATGTCTGGGCAGGTGGACCGGTTAGATGGTGAAACCCAAATTTGAGGCCTTGCTGCAAATTCCATCCCAGGACTCAAGAAATGACCAGCAGCTCTAAAAATCCTCTAGGATCCTCTGTCTGAAAATGTAACCTCACTAGCAAAGTCCACACAGAACCTTCTGAATTATAAGACATTATAAGACAATGCAAGACATTAACATTCAATACATTTTTACAAAGCAAACCACAGGAATACATATAAAATTTCTGGGATGTAATTGCTTGGGTAACATTTCACTTACTGTTGCATAAGGGAATCTTTAAGAATATGACATATTCCACTGTAAATTATTAAAATAGGGATGAAAACTATGAAAACCTATGCAAACCACAGGCAGGGGCTCTCTCCTTGAGGCATGTATACCTCTGGCTGTGGGTAGGAGAGGAACTTTTTCCTGGTGGCATCTTTGAGCAGCCCAGTTCTTTCTCCCGATTCACTGTTCCTCTGATGTATTGAGCCATTTGTAGCAATTTATTTCTGGTTTAAATTACAATAACTGGAGAGCATGTTGTAGGGGAATGGCAGCAAAGAACCAAGTGTCTGGCAAGCGTCCTTCCCCCGTCAAGCCGCTCTGGGTTATGTGACTACACCCAGGCTCTTGTGCAATAGCAACAGGAACACGGTGGCCTCTTACACCCAGGAGCTTGGGCTCTGTGTCTGTAGGAGCCTTCAGCAGCAGTTCACTAAGCCCCTTTGCCAACACAGACTGTATCATATAATCCAAGACAAAACTGTCGAGAATGACATGCATTCACTGAAAAAACAACACTTCATTACCGGCCCTGTATGCACAACTGGAATAGTGTTTCAGGCATTCAGAAGTACTTTCATTTCAGCTGTGATATCCTATTTCCTTTGTAAAGGCTGTGGAGAATGTGAACTTAAAGATAAAAGCCTTTGGGAAAAAATTCTCATTTTCCACCTCCACATGCTGCATGGAAACACCTCCTACCTACACTGGGTAGCTGTGAAATACTAGTGAGAATGGTGAGGCGGTTTAAATACACTATGCACATATGTATCCGCCCGTCAAATGTGAAGCGTAACATCAGCATCAGTACCTGCACAATTGGATGGACGGTGATTTTGTGCACATCTTGCTGTGAAGGCTCCTGCACCAAGTTAGAGGCAACGAAGCTGAACCCTCTGAAAAGATGATGAGCATTGGCACTTGGAGGAACACCTGGGGAATCTGCAGGAGAAGGAAGAAGACGGCCTCATGAGCTGTACAAAAGATCAAAAAGTAATAGCACAGCACCTGCAACAGACAAAGTCACCCCTGCCAGTCAACAGCAGATCCTGCTAAACTGGCAGACACATGTGAATATAATCCACCTCCATATCAAGGCTTTGGTGTGCCTTCTCCATCCCGTTCCTCTGGAGCTGAACAGTGCAGAGGTATTGGTTGCAAGGATCTCTCCTTTGGATACAGTTTTTTTTCACAGTGCATGTTCATTCTTAGGCAAAGCACTGCCTGTGCCAGGAGTCTGCACAGAGAGAGAAGGCACAGGATGGCGAGGCTAGGAGAAAGACAGATGGCTCAAGGCAAGGCACCCCTTTGGCTTAGCACAGGTTCTCCAGGGAGCGGAAAAAAGCTGCAAGCTGCTATATCTGTCCTTTGCAGCACACCTTGACTACAGAAATTACAAAGGCTAAAGTGCTTTCTGGGTAACGTAGTATGTTGGGTGGGTCAGGAGAATGTAGAGAAGACAGGATCTGAAGCAACTGTAAAAGTGCAATGCTCCAGTAGTGGTGGTTTGTGGCCTCATAAGGATCTTTCTGGAGCAGCTCTAGGAGCTGTGACTTACTCCAGGGAAGATGCTGGTTGACTTGTCCTCAGGTGAACAAAATCACTAAGAGTGTTTTAACTAACCTTCATGGACTTTTTCTCCCCACTCCTTCCCCTGACATGGCAAATCCAGGGGAGGAATGGCTGGAGATCAAAGAGCCCTGAATTATTCTACCTTTGGAATGAAATAACTAGAGAGCAGTTCCTGGTACCTACGCCACTGCTCAGTGAGAGAAACAGCCTGCCAAATCGAGAAGAGAAGACTTGCACTTCACTTAAAATTCTGGAAAGCTTTAAAGAGATCTTTCTCCCCAGTGTATGTTTTGTCCCAGGTATTTTCATAAACAAGAAAGAGTCGCATTGCAAGCCATTCCTTGGTAGCTGGGTAGCTGGCTGGGTATTATAAACCCTATAGTACTAAAATTTGCTCACCTTTTATTTGTTCTTTTTTTGGGTTTGTTTTTTTTCTCTCCTCCCCTTCACACTTCCTCCAGTGCAACACGTGATTTACCATGGCAATTACAGAGCTAAACTTCCTTTAGAAAGCTATCTCCTTGTATGAAGTGGGTGAATACCCAGTTTCTCTAGAGTAAAGAAAATACATCCCCACTGGACCTTATATCTGACTTACCTGCCTACACCATCAGCATCATCCATTAGTGTGTAGCGCAATGGCATGGAAGACTGAATATTGCTTGAGGTCCTGAAAATGTTTGAGAATGTATTTCCTTGTGTGGACATTCCCTGTATAAATCTACTGCTCAAATGAACAGAGGGTCTGAAGCCAGAATATGGTAAAAACAAATTATCTGCTTGGAAATAAACAAAACTGAGACTGAAGCTAATTCTATATCTCATTACAAAGCTGCCTCAGCTTTGACAGGAGTCAGAAATAACCACAGCAAGTCAGACCTCACTGCAAAGTATGTGGAGAAGCTTATCTTTTGGTAAAATGACATGGGCTATTTGTTTATCTCAGTGTATTGGTGGGCACTCCCCTTGCAAATACATGGATGAATCACACCAGACCTCTTGCATCACTGGGTACTTCTTACAATGGCATATATACAACAGTGATTTTCCAAGAGGGATTAATTAAGAGGAAAGGATGTTTGTTTTAAAAAAGGAATGACAATAATTCAAATCTGAACACTCCTGAACTTCAGAAAAGCCATGATCCGGCTCTAAAACGTAAGTGCTAGGTCATGTCTAAAAATAAATGTTCCTTCATAATTCACTGCCAATCTCTTTATCAAAGACTGTAGAAGAATCATAGAATCATAGAATCATA